TGTATCTTATTTCAAGTTAAGTTCCTTGAATTTAATTTATTGAGACCATTTTTAGTTTATGCATCAAATACCTCAAAAAGCATGTGGAGTTATTTTGGAAAAATAATGAGAGCGTACATATTATTTTTAAGGGTTCGATCAGTTCTTTCATAGACTATATATATAACAACTAGCTATATATGTAATTATGCATGCGTTTGCTAGCCAAATCGAAGTTATAGCTATGAGTTAATTCACTTTTTCTCTTTCAAAGTAGAGTGAGTCTTGCCTAGTTCTCTAACCTAGGGCCGATTTAATAAATATGTAACATTGTATTAGGCCACATTTCAAGTTTCTAACATTGTATTACAGATTTTTAACCTGGCATATATATGTGCATGCATGTTGTGCACGCGATTGATCTTTGCCTTTACCAAATTTCTAAATAACTAAAGATTATAGGATTGTTGAAGATACTAATTAATCAAAATTATATATTATATCTTTAGAAAAGTAACTTAATTGACAAATGCCAACTTAAATAAAGGTTGCTAGCTAAACACTCCTTAAACCTTATCTGAAAGTAGTACAGTACAATATTAACCTAATTGAATGACCTGTGCTCTGTAGTATAGTTCTTAATTCTTCATTTTTTTCAGCTAAGCAACTTTTTATCATATTTTAACCCTTGTAAGTGGGTGAAATCATATCTTAATTTCATTAATACTTATTTAGGTATAACCAACATAGTATACCCTGCCATTGGAGCAATATTATCCATCCACAACCTTAATAAATTATTTCTGCTTAGTCTTTGCATAAAGCTCTTTTTCTAATAAATACAGTATATTTTTAAATATATATCATTAAATTAATGTATGATACACTGCACCAAATTTAAGGATTATTTAATTTAGCAACTTATTTAAAATAAATAAAATTGTAAGCATACTTGTAGTATATTACAATCAGAAATACATTTTAAGATGTATAATAGATGGTAACAGCAACCTGCCACGTGTAGCAAAATAGACCACAACACCAATAAAAAAATTTAATAAAAATTGGGTAAATTTCTTTTTCATGTTAATGTATGATTAAATCAATAGAATTAATTAATTAGTTAGTTAATAATTCTGTAAAAAATATAAATGGAGTATTACTTTTACGTTTAGTTAAGTTTATAGCTGAATCTTGCGCTAGATCCTATGATAAACCTTTAAACACGCGATGTCTCGAATTTCTTCATACAACCAAAAATAAGACAATGATGTAAGATTATGTATGTGACATCTCCTAATTTATTTTTTTTACATAAAATATTAAAAAGTGACAACCCTCACTTTTAGGACTAATTTTTGGCCATTTATTGTCTTTCTTGGTGATTACTACATTTATTTTTACTGTTCTTACTTCATTAATATTCAATTGGTTCTTTTTGTTATTTTATATAGCCTTTAATTAATTTATATGTTCTTTTCAATGAACAATAATAGATCAAAAGGGGGTCCATTTGATTAAGTTCATTAAGTTATTGGGTACTAACTTTCTAAAAAAGATATCTTTATAGGTGTGTTATGGTTTCAAACTATCTTATATGATCACATGAGTCACCCGACACTTTCAGTTTATTTTTTCAAAAAATATCAAAAATTGACCTGATGAAATCGTGTATTATAGCCTTCAATTATAGACAGTATTTCACTATTTTGGACTCGGAAACCAAAATTGTCGAGATGCTTCCCATGGACCCTAATACACCCCGGGAGCCAATTTGGGTGGGTAAAACCATCCAATTTGCCTTTAAACTGTCAATTTATCCGTTTACAACTTGCACCGATATCATAAATTCGAGTTTATTACGGACATATACGACAACATATAATGATCATATATGGTTCCGAACAACATAATATGACCCCGAGATGTATCCTCTTATATCTCGAGACTTTTTGACACCCGGTCTCGAAACCTGAGAAATTGGCCAAAAAGTGTGTAATATAGCCTTCAATTTTCGAAATTTTTTGACCGAAAACAAAAATTGCTGAAAAGCTACCTATAGACCCTAATACCCCCTGGGAGTCCAATTGGGTGGGTGGGACCATCCAATTTTCCTTTAAGCATCCAATTGACCCGTTTTCGTACACGTTTCTTATATTGGCTATAAGCTTTCATGGGGCCCTAATGTAGATGACTTATGGTCGTATATGAGTCCAAACAACATTATATGACCCCAGGATACATCCCGTAGAATTCCGTGAATTTCTGACACCGTGTCTCGACACCTCCTAAAATGCTCCAATTTCGTGTATTATAGCCTTCAAATTTGGCTTTCGTATATCATTTTTTCACCCGGCAAGATTATACATCTAGGTACTTTCATGGGTTCCCAAAGTACCTTGTGAGTCATAGATAGTGCCCGGAACCATCTCATTCATCCTTAATCATCAAAATACAAATAAACGAGGGGGAATTTGAACATATGACCTATATATCGTAAACAAGCTTCAATAATGGTGTATATACACCGATTCGATTGTAATCATAGATAAATTTAAGGATAGGATTCACTCATATATGTTAATGTCTTTTTCAAATATATTAAGGATGTTAATTGCTTACTAATATTAGTATATTGCAAAGAAACTTGGACGGTTGGTTAAGGAAGATTGTAATGATTATGGAAGATTATTTTTGTGTTTTTCTTTTTTGGTCTCTATGATGTGGTAGGACCACTCCAGGAGCTTGTTTGTTGAATTGAAGGATGAGCCATAACTAAGTTGTTGCAAACTCTCCACTTTGTCTACTTAGATGGTAATTAAACTACAATTTTTCCTAACAAATTAAATGGGAATCCAAAGTTTAAACTTGGAGGTGTGTTATCAAATATATTGATCAAGTTATAACATAATCAATCATCTTCGTTCATATAATTATATAATACACTTGAAAGCCTAGCATAGGTTAACAATAGTGTGCATAATATAAGGATTAAGTGTAATGAGAGATCAAACACAAAATATTTATTTTAATCTTATGCTTTGTATAGTGTTACTGTAAAATTTATAATTGTACATGAATTAGAGCTTAATTTTATCAAGAACAATTGACCGACCAATATATTGTAAGTGTCTTATCACAAAATAGAAAGAAAAAAAAAGGTCAAACCCTAGGTAATTAGAGAATTAGTGCCAAATCAAATCTAGAGGCCCACGAGATTAGTGACGAACCGGCCAGATGAAGATATTTTGACATACCATGAATTTGACAAAAATCAAATAAAAAGAAGGAAAAAGATATATGCAGCCCTAAGGGTTGCATATAAGGAGCTAAAAATGGAAAGAGTTGATAATAAATAAACATTTATTACACCGATTTACTCGTGAATTGTCGATAAATTCCCAACTTAATACTAAAAAAAGAAGTATATTAAATGCTTATATGCAGCCCTAAGGGCTGCATATAGCATTACCCAAAAAGAAAGGACACATTACTAATAGTAATATTTGGCATAATATTTTTTTTAAATTTTTTTTCTTTGAAAGTGGCATAATAATATATTAATTGTGAATTAATGATAGTTTACTATTTTGCGCACTATCTTGTTACTTGAGCAAACATGAAATGATTTCCATTAATCAAAACTCGTTTTCTTATAACGGAAAGTGCATTTGAATGCTAGTGATGATGCTTCCTCAAAAATGCGGCGGTCATAATCTCTTCAACAAATTTGTAAAACTCAGCAATAATGCGCATAGTTTTTGAATTGGTAGAGATTAATCCGAGACTCGAAATTAATAACCCCAACTGAAAATAATTACCTATTTTTTGTTTAATGAAAACTAGACATAAATGTCTTTACATGTTTATAAATAATGTTAACCAAATTGTTGGTCGTCGTTGAACAACATATTAATTTTACAATGGTTAAGATACATACGAAACTAAATAATATACTCCACCTGTTTCATGATACAATTGTATATACAATTATACAATATTGCGCTATGCTTTGATCAAAAGGTTCTAGGTATTGAAACTTATATTGAAGCAAATTAAAAGATTTAGGAAATGACATAATCCATTACTTCATGTGATCACAATAATATTGGAGGCGCACAAGAACATGATTCTTAGGCATAGATTACAGAAGAAACTTATAATTGTTGTCTCTCTTAATAATTTATAACTTTTTAATGTTGTCCACTCTTGAAAGTTAAAGATATTACACTCTTTAATTTTCTCTTGATCACAATTAGTAAATGAACTCTTTTATTAAAAAAATAAAGCAAAATTTGTTATTTCAGAGGAAAATAAATGAATTCATTTGCCATGGATTTTATCTAAACCGGTTCTTTTTACAATGGATAAAATTGTCAAGAAAAATTCTTGAAAAAGGTAAAATTATTAAGATGACTAATATATAAATCTGGTGATCGAGCTACTTTAAATTTTCTCTTATAGCTAACCATTTATGATATTGCCGCAATATACATTTTAATTACAAATAGTTTCATATAACTTGGGACTCTCTGTAAGTAAGTAATATGGATATAGCTATCAAAAATAATATTACCAATCACTTTATGATACAAATTAAAGGGAATAATACAAATCTCTTTCAAAGAATGATATTATTTGTCACTTTAAGATACAAATTGTAAGAAAATTAAATGAATAATACCACTAGCACTTTTCTTATATAATTTTCAAGGTCGAAAGTAACAAATATGGATAAAGGATTAATACATAGGCCAAGAGGGTACGGTACCCTAATAAAATACTTTAAATTAGACCAACCTTTCGAAGTATAGTAGATGACAAACCCAAAATCCAGGGCAAAAGAAGGTTTTATAACTTCTCTTGGACTCATATGAGGTAATGTCTACAAAACATAGAGAAAATAACATTAAAAATATATTTATGAAGATGACAAAATTACTAATCATTAGTTGCATGATGTGGACAGGCCAGGTAAGAATATCTGACATGTCCTCCACGTGGCTATCGACCGAGGGTGACAAGTAAGCAAAGGGCGGCGCACCAAACAGACAAACAAGAGTTGGAACATATACTGTTTGTTAATGAAATAAAGGAGGGGGGTGGCCAAAAGAAGAAGAAACTATTGGATAGTTTTAAAGTTTGGTTTTTTTGTTTTCTTTTTAATCCTTTTTAACCTTTATTTCAAGGGTTTTATGGTTAAGATAACATAGGATATATAGATGTTGATTTATCTTAAAGAATTAAGGTGTAAGTCTTATCAAGTCAGAACCACACACAAGTTAATCTAATTCGAGTTAACAAGACATGTCCATTATAATAATGTTTGATGTATAGTAGTTTAAATGTTTAATGGTTGTGAGATGCAAATCTTTCCACTGCGTTATATTGTATCTGGTAACGTAAGATGTTGAGAGGAGGGAGTGTGTATATGAAAGGATATATAGTATTGTAACACAAAATTTACGGTGGAAGTTAAAAGAAAGGCAATTTGGAGAGAGAGAGAGAGAGAGAAGGGGGGTGGCGTGAAAAAGATTAGGGTGAGACGCCGTCCAAAATATATAAGTAAAAGGCTTAGAGTAATCTGCTAACCCCATGCGTAATTGATAACTACACCTCATCTCTTTCACCTTCCTCTTTTTTACTACTTATAAACCTATCCTCCACGTTTATATATATATACATTGTTCTTTTTCTCCAAGACATATTTTTATTCATCATCTCTAAGCTAAGCTAAGCTTGCTAGCTAGGTACCTTGCTCTCACATATATTGATCAAGTCGGAATAACGGAGTTAATTAGATCATCATAATCATTCACCGCGATTCAAATAGAGAAGAAGAGGAGGAAGAAGAAAGACAAGATTATTCTAAGCTAGGACGTACAACATATACAATTTTCATTCGATTCAATTCTTTGGTTAGTTCTCATTTCTTCATTACTTGATAACTATTCTTAATTAGCTTTGTTCTTTCCTTCGTTAGTCTTTTGAGGGTATCAAGTTGATCGTTTCTTAGCATGATTCTCTTGGGAATAGATCATAAAGACCTAATCAAGGATGATGATGGAGGTTAGATTATATAATATGGGGTGTTAAATTCTATTAGCTTGTAAATACAAGCAATATTTTGAAAAGAAGTTGATGATATACTCTCTTTGAGTCAATAAGAGGCATTTAATTATGAATTACCATTATTAACGACATAAGAAGATACTTCATATATAAGATATAGTAAACATTACTTACATTTTCAGATACTAGATTGGCTAAGTGAGGCTTTGAAATTGGTGATAACTAAAGTAAAATGATCCTCCGTATATGTATAAGGTTTTACTTAATTATTAGTTTCTTTAATTTTTAAGGTTTTGAAATTTGAATTGTATGAAAACGGAGTGAATTTTAGCTAGGATCATTTCCAATTAATAGATCAAAAAAACTTATTGAGTGAGATCAACATACATACATTTACGTCTAGTAGTTTGATATGGCCTTCACTACTTGGTAATACATAACATAAACAAACCTGTTCATTGTTCACACTTGACCACTTTCCTAAGTTACTTGTTACATGTTTGTATAATTGTATTAACTCAAAGTTTAGAGACGATTATCTCCCCAAGAAATAACTTAATGTATTTTGTCGCGATAATATAATTTAGACTCATACTTTATTGTCCATCAATCTTATGTAGATTTTTATTGGTGCACTGCATGGCTCAAGCTAGATTACAGTAATTATTTTTGACATTGACTTGTACACATACGATAGATTTTTGAAAGAGAAAGGTGGTGGGTAAATGATGTATATGTATGTATATATGAATATTATGGTAATAATAAAGATATACTAAACAAATAAAAATAAAAATTAAAGCTATTATTGGCAGCGTATATGAATGTAGTGCACTCTACTCAAAAGACAACTCAACGTGCGTGCTTAATGCTTCAGTGTTTCTGCCAAAGTCAATATTTTCGGCTTTTTTTTTTTTTTTTTTTTTTTTTTTTTTTTTTTTTTTTTTTTTTTTTTTATAACCCTCATGCATATACTACTCTACTTGAATAAAATTAAATCCTCCAAAAATATTTATTTCAAAGATATATATTATTTATTTTTCATTTGGTAGGTCATACAAATTTGTTGATTGGCTATAAACTTAGGTATAGGACCATTATAATGAATTTGGTCCACTGAAAGTGCATTTATAACCAAAATGCATATGATATCATGATTGTATATTTACCATGCATGAGAATTTCATGTGTTGCAATAGTTCTTTCCACTTTCTTAAGGTCAAGCTAAGCATGTTGTCCTATTTTATTTTATGCCTTTTTTTTTATATAGTTACTTTAATTTATATACGAAGTATAATATAGATTGTATGATAAACGAATTAAATTTGCATGCCTTGAATAATTTTATATAACATGTATCTTCATGATTCATCTTTTTACTATTATCGCATATATATATATATATATATATATATATATATATATATATATATATATATATATATATATATATATATATATATATATATATATATATACACATTTGGTTATTGTAAAGATAGACATATATGAGGCCGAATTCAGGAATTATTAGTTGATAGGGCTAATTTAAAAAGTAATTAACTCGACGTACAATAATTTATATATTTGTATCATATATTGATTCTATTAATAGGATGAGAGACTATTAGCGTGTTTTTATTTATGGAGAATTATTTATTATAAGCAAAATGGTTGTTTTACTTTATCATAGTAGTAGTAGACTAGTAGTAATATATTGATGCAATGTAATTATTAATATCCTTGATGAATAGCAAATCATAGTTTTGTTACATGATTATCTTATTAATTATATATTGGATTTGATTTACAGAAGAATAATTGGAAATGAATCATACCGAATTATGTGTTCCACCGGGATTTAGATTTCATCCCACAGAAGAAGAATTAGTGGGGTACTATCTCAAGGGAAAGGTCAACTCCCTCAAATTCGATCGAGATGTCATCATTGAAATTGATCTTTACAGGATGGAACCTTGGGACATCCAAGGTATGTTTTGACTTCCTATATACTCTTAATATATATGTACTCGATAATATAAGATGTTCTCCTTCTATTCTTTTTTGTTCTACTCACGTTACTTGCATAATGTCTTTACTTAGTTAAAGTGACTATATCATTATTCAATTATCTCTAGAAGGATCGACATAGCTATCTTAAGTTTATTTTTCCGAGTTAACTTGTCCTTAAATACATGTAATAGAGCTTAGTATATATTCAGACCCTCGATATTAATCACTATGTGACTTAATTTCATTTGTGTAGGCATTTAACTTTAATAGTAATAGTAGTACTTTTGATCATAGTGTTTCATTTGGACCGTTATTTTATGGTGCAGATAAATGCAAGTTGGGATATGATGAACGTAATGAATGGTACTTCTTCAGCCACAAAGACAGGAAGTACCCTACCGGATCTCGTACAAATAGGGCCACAGCGGCCGGATTTTGGAAGGCGACAGGGAGAGATAAGGCGGTGTTATCCAAGAATAACATCATAGGGATGAGAAAGACCCTTGTCTTCTATAAAGGCCGTGCCCCTAATGGCAGGAAAACTGATTGGATCATGCATGAATATCGTCTTCAAACTTCTGAACATGCTCCTCCTCAGGCAAGTCCTTGTGATTTTTTTTGCTTAGCAAAAATTACATTATACGACTTACTTACTACATAACGTATAATTTAATAACCTACCATAAGTATTAGGTAAAAATATGTACATACATATATTAAAAAAGAGTCGCATTTATTAATCTTTATAAATTAATAGCTACACAAATTATTTCATGCATCTGGGAGTATCCAAGATGATGCTATGAGTTTAATATGTGCACAATATTCATATCAAGTTGTGCACGTGTTGGACTTGGAGCACACACAATCCTATGTACGAACTTCTAGGTGCAACATATACGCGTTAATAAAAGTAGTTACATTTAAACTCCTTGAGATAAGAACGTACTATACTGAGTATGGCTAATAAAAAGAGGATTAAATGTTGCAGGAAGAAGGGTGGGTGGTATGCCGAGCATTCAAGAAACCAAGTCCAAGTCACAAGCAAGGATATGAAGCATGGAGTCATCATCAAAATCAGTACTACTACATGAGAAATAACAACTACGATAGACACATTGGTTCACCATCAATTCCTGATACATCAAGCCCTAACACTGATCCATCCGATTCTATAAACCAATGTCACACAAACTTCCACAACCCTCAATCACATCCTATGCAGCAGCTTCCTTACACTAATTTCAACCCGGAATTGATCATCGAAAACCAACTGATCATCGACCTCCCTCGATTGGATAGTCCGTCTTTTTCGACAAGCTTTGCAACAAAAGAAGCATATGAAAATCATCAACAAAGTGGTGGAATAATTAACGAGGAACATCATCATAATGACCATGAGAGTAGCAACAACAAGTGGGAAATATTGGATAATTTGCTAGGAAATTCATCATCATTTTCTAATAATGATCTACCAAACATGCACTTAGTTCCTCATGATTATGAACTAGAGGTTCAGAATCAACTTGGAAGTTTTCTCGAATGCTTTCCGAACTTATAGCAAAGCTCAATGCAACCATAATATTTCAACTACCAACAAAAAAAAAAGGGAAAAAAACAAAAAAATATATATTGATATAAATATATACTTTGTGTTTTAGACATATTTTCATGTGTGTTTCATGTGCATGTTAACAAGGCATGCTATATATTATTCCAAATGTAACTTCGATCTCTTTCTACTTCTTTTTTTTTTTTTTAACTAATTGTATTCTCATGTAAAGTTAATTGGTAGGGTTTGTTGAACTCATCAATCCCCTAAAAATTTATCCAAGTTTCTAATGTGATTAGTGAAATGGCTTACGTGCTCTGCTAATAATCGATGCGCACATATATCTAAACAATCTATTGTAGTTATCCTTAAAACTATTATCATTATACTAATTCTTTTTTATTTATTTATGTCAAAAATTATAACATCTTTTTTTTGTTTTTTTTTTTGAGGGAAAAAATTATAACATCTTTGTTGCCTTGATGTGATGATAAAATGAATCAATAGGGTAGAAAGATCAACTCAACAACAAAAAAAAAAATTAAGAAAGTTGTTAAATAACAAAAAAAATGTTAGTTTAAGGGATTGAAGTATTGAACCCATGACCATCTATTCAATATTGCAAACTTAACAACCACTAGACTAACTCCTTTCATTTGTCAATATTTTTTTTTCTTAAAAAGTGGGGGAATTGGGCAAAATATAAAGAGTGTGAGTGGGTCAGTGGCCAGTGGGTGACCGTATAAAACGGCAAGCAAAAAGTGTGATTTGTGTATATTACAGCAAAGTGAACAGTATAAAAGACTTTGATTTTTGACCCAAATATTGCATTCTAAGTACAAACTTATAGTATGTTGTCTTCACCTTATTTTCATTTCAATTCTTATCTTAATTTCATTCTCACATAAAATATTCAGTTCATTTCAATTCAGCTCAATTCAGTTCAGTCAATCAGAACATGCCCTTAGCTATTGCGTTCAGTATTCGATCTTTCCCTTATGAAAATTCAGAAGCAAATGACACCCTTCTATTTATGTTTTATTGCACTTTTGTTCCTCATTGACTATGTCATGGGACAAGCTGTTTCCTCCCAAAAATATTTGGAGTCAATAAAAATGCCCAATCATAATACCATACCTTATGCACTTTTAAGTGCTTTACCTGAATCAGTATCTTCTTATTATATGTCCAATAAGAATACTTGGGTTAACTCAGATGAAGTGGTAATCCAAGATTATGAGGGTTCAGCAAGTCATTGTCATAATGATCGTGATGGTTTCGATGACGGTGACGGAAATGGTGGTGGTGGTCACGGTAATGGCGGTGGTGGTCATGGCCATGGCCACATTATCAATTATGAGTTTCTAAAGTCGAGATTTATTCTTTTAAAGCATCTCCATGTTGGTTTTAACATTACCCTCCAACTAAAAATGTTGGAAGGAATCACCACAAAATTCCCTACTTAAAACAATTTACCCCCTTTCAACTCCAAATTATTTCTCTGTGAAACTCAACTCAAAAGCAAGATGAGGTCTGTTAGAGATATCAGAAAATACATCTGTGATATATTTTCCGTAGATATCATTTAAGAGACTAATATATTTAATTAGGATATTTATGTTAATATATTATTTTGAGATTATATCTTTAGGATTTATGGTTAGACGTATATCTTTTAGGAAGATTGTTTCCTATCTTATGAGCTTAGATTTTGTATAAATAATCAAGCCATTCTATTCTACTTCTTCTCTCTAATTTATCTAGGTCAATTTTACTGCAATAGTTATATGCTACAACGACACATCGAAATGGAATCCGAATATTCCATGCATTAGGAGTTCCCCCAAGGACTCCTATATGCCATTTTCTGCATTCGAATGACTTCCTTTGGTATTTGAGTGTTTGACAAAGACTATCTGCTGCGTGGGCATGCAATCAATTCAAGGGTTATCATCTTACTTACTTAGGGCCTATTCTTTTCAAATTATTTTCAGTTCAGTTCTTAATTTTCTTCTCAGATAAAATATTCAGTTCACTTCAACTCAGTCCAGTCAATCAGAAATAGATTAGTATTTTACTATACTTATAATTTAGCTTACACGTTTTTACCATTCACTTGAATAGGTTTTTCGTGTTTTAAGCATATTTAATACGGAGTAATATTATTTTTTTTTCTTATGAAGGTAAAAGTTTATCTATCATATAGTTTAATTTGTAATGTCAATAAAAGGCCTCACAAATGCAACATTTAAGAAGTGAATTATAGAATTTGATCATTTAATTTGTCCACCACCTACAACACTCATTTCTTTTCTCATCTATCTATCTCTTATAACTCTCTTGTAGATCCACATCAACCAGGTTAAATTGTATTGCACAAATAAACTTTACTTTATCTTAAATTATCTTTTCCCATTAATAATTACTCCTAAAATCCTATGGATGGGAGATTGTATACAAAGACTTGATTTTATCCAATGAAAAAAAAAATATATATTTTATTTAGATTTAAAAATCAATGCTAAATAAGTTAATTAGTGAATGAGATTTGAGAGTGTAATTCTAAGTGTTAGGTTTTAAAAAAAAAAAAGTTAAGGAGTATTTCTTAAACTTGTCAAAAAAAAAACTTTATGCAAATTGCACCTCGTCAAAAAAAAATAAATAAATAAATAAAATTGCACATCATAAAATATAAAATATATAATCATAAAATATAAAATATAAAATATAATCATAAAATATAAAATATAAAAAATATAATCATAAAATATAAAACAATGCATACTTGGAGAAGAGCGAAAAGTCTCTGGTGTAAGCTTAGGGGGGTCTACTACTTATGTTCCTCAAACCGGTTGGATACAAAGAGGATTAAATGTTGCAGGAAGAAGGATGGGTGGTATGCCGAGCATTCAAGAAACCAAGTCCAAGTCACAAGTAAGGATATGAAGCATGGAGTCATCATCAAAATCAGTACTACTACATGAGAAATAACAACTATGATAGACACATTGGTTCTCCATCAATCCTAATACCGATCCATCCGATTTTATAAACCAATGTCACACAAACTTCCACAACCCTCAATCACAACCTATGCAGCAGCTTCCTTACAATAATTTCAACTCGGAATTGATCATCGAAAACCAACTGATCATTGACCTCCCTCGATTGGATAGTCCATCTCTTTCGACAAGCTTTGCAACAAAAGAAGCATATGAACATCATCAACAAAGTGGTGGAATAGTTAATGAGGAACATCATCATAATGATCATGAGAGTAGCAACAACAAGTGGGAAATATTGGATAATTTGCTAGGAATGAACTAGAGGTTCAGAAATCAACTTGGAAGTTTTCTCGAATGCTTTCCAAACTTATAGCAAAGCTCAATCCATAATAATTACAACCACCAACAAAAAAAAAAAAAAAAAAAGGGAAACACAAAAAAAAAATACTGTGTGTTTTTGAAAAAATTTCATGTGTGTTTAAAAAAACAGACAAAATTTTATGTGCATGTTAATAAGGCATGCTATATATTCCAAATGTAACTTCTCTTTCTACTTTTTTTTTTTTACTAATTGTATTCTCATGTAAAGTTAATTAGTAGGGTTTGTTGAATTTGTCAAACCCCTAAAAATTTATCCAAGTTTCTAATGTGATTAGTGAAATGGCTTATTACGTGCTCTGCTTATCGATGCACACATATATCTACAAAAACCTATCATTATCATAGTCATTTTTCAAATGATTATCACTATACTAATTATTTTTTATTGGCTATTTTTTATTATTATTTTATGTCAAAATTAATTATATCTTCGCCTTGCATGATATGATGATATAATAAATCAATAGGTTTACGAATAACATTATGGAAATAATCCAACTATAAATTTTACTCAAGTAATATGAACTACTTGTATATATCAACAGATTTGTGCAAAACGTTGGAATTATTTGTGAATTTTGGGCAATAGTAGTTTCATAAAGTAATTATCAATTTTTTTAGGGTAGAATTGAATGGGCCTTATTTTTGTGATTGGCAAAATTTTCAATTTAAACAACACCCTGATACGCACAAAACACTGACCAAGTAACCCTTGTCCGAGTAGCCCAGTAGCCTCTAACTGATTGTTATAGTCTAGTACTACTGCTTTGAGCCTTTGCTTCCCAAATCCCTACTTTCTGGATTTTCAATTGGACACACATCTATAATATTATTAAAACACAATGGGACAACATGCTAACGACATATGTCACAATTCCCTCGATATGATTTGGCAGCACATCATCGCTACGAGTCACCCTTATGTGTCACTCTTTGTGTCATATATCACTCTAAAATCTTCATATGTATAACCTTAATATGAAGAGTTCTTAGACCGTCAACGGTCGTAACGTGGTGGTCGTTATTAAGTTGGTCACAAAAAACAAAATTACGACCGTTTGACGATCGCAATTTTTTTGCAACCGTTTTTAGTATTTTCAACGGCCGTTTGGAAAACGGTCGCAAATAAATATAATTGCGAGCGGTATAGTCAGCGGTCGCAAAATTGGATTTAGCGACCATCTTAAGCCGTCGCTAAAATTTTTTTAAAAAAAAGAAAATCACCCCTACCCCGTATCCAGCCTCACCAACCCACCGCCACTACAAACCCTATTCACCTTTACCCACCACCACTGCCCACCCTAAAATACTACCAGCCACCCCGAATCACCTTCAGCCACCCCTAAAACACCTTCAGCCACCACGAAAACACCTCCAACCACCCCGAATCACCTCGAAAACACCTTAATCCACCATGAAAACACCTCCAAGCCACCCCAAATCACCTCGAAAACACCTCCAGCCACCCCGAATCACCTTGAAAACAACTCCAGCCACCACAAAAACTCCAGCCCACCCCGGATTCACACCCCTTTCCCACGAAAACCCAAATCAGCCACCACAAAAGCCACCCGTAAACCGAATTAACCAACAATCAAACAAAATAACATGAAAACCCAAAAATTAGCGAAAATCAAATCCAAATATAACAAAAATAAAACAATTTCACTTCGAATATCAAACCCTAAAATTGACGAAAATTAAGCCACAAAATTATCCAATTAAAAAGTACCCGGAAATCAAACCCAAAAATCAACAAAAAAAAACAAAATCAAACCCAAAAAGAAATGAAAATCAACCAAAAACGAAACAAAAATAAACCAAAAACACGAAAACATACCTCAAACTTCGAATTTTACCTCAAATTTGGTTTAATAAGGCCAAATTCGACCATGAAAAGTCTAGATCTAGAGTTTTCATAGTTGAATTTGTAATACCCCATATTTTCATACGTATTTTCTAATTAATTAATTAAGAATTATTTTATAAGAAGGGTATTTTAGTAAAATCATTATTTGGAGCCAAAATATTTGAATTTTGGCGTCAAATATAAGTATTTAATCATTTGTATAATTAATTATTTTCGGATTTCTAAATTAATAATATAGGTTTAATTTTTTTTTTTAGGCCGGTCCATACTTTATTATACTAACTATTTCAAGAGAAATATCTAATATACATTATATATTTAACTAATTTTGATATTATCTAAAATATTTATTTATTCAATTATTTTATTATGATTTTCGTTTATATTTAAAAAAAAAATTGTGAACGTGAGTTATCATGTTTTTAAGTGTGATTTTATCACCTTAGTTTGTTAATAATTATTTAACTTAACCTTTAATTATCTATCTCATTTTGTTCCTATCGTCCTTCTCCCAACCATATGTGTATCCATTTAATTTTTTTTATCTTTTAACCAACCTACTAATCTAGACCAAATGTTACTCAAATTCATTCAACAATTTTAAACTTATCATGTTCTTATTCTAATATCATTCCACTTTAAACTCTATCCTTTCTACACCCTTAACACTATAAATAGACCCTTAATTCTTCCCACTTATTCACATCAATTCTCTACTTTTCTTCTCCTCTTTTTACACAAATCATCCCGTTTATCTTTGAAGCCAATTTTCGGGCATTTTTGGTCAGTTTTGGGGTATTGACATTTCACAAAATATTGTTCCTCTCGAAAAATCCTTGAGATTAGGATCAGAATCACCCAATTCGAAGTTATATTAAAGGAGTTATAGCCTCCGCAAGTTCTGCCTATTCTTTCCAACACAAATCCAATTCTTCTCTTTTCCTTGGTTTCTTATCTTTTCTTATTCAACTATTATTATTATTATTATTATTATTTTTTTTTTTTTTTTTTTTTTTTAGCAAAGCGAGCAATTTTATTAATGGTAATCAATCTCCACCAAAGTGTATAGGCTTTGGGGAAAAGAGTTTAAACAAACACGTTCCTTGGAAATACTCGTATTCCACCTCGCAACATAATGAGCCACGGTATTCCCTGCTCGCTTAACATGAGTACAAGAGAAAGAATTAAAAGTATTACATATTTGCCTAATATCATCAAACAGGAGAAAAATTGGAGCTGCTCCAACCACTTGATTCTGAAACAGCACGGGCAACAGTCAACGCATCACACTCAAGGATCACCTCCATATAACCCAGCCTTCGAGCTAATTCAAACCCATACCTTGCAGCCCCAGCTTCAGCAAGATCGGGTGACCAATTCGCATCTATTTTCTTCACAGCTGCAGCAAGTAATACCCCCCTACTGTCACGTATAACAGCCCCGAATTGAACCCCACTTCCATTCATTAAGTGAGCATCCACATTCACCTTTATAGCATTTGATGGTGGAGGAGACCAATAAGAAGGAGATTGCATCGCAGACCCCCTACAAGCCCCTTTGATTTTCTGGTTGTAAGTGACATAATCTGCACACAACCTCACAAAGCCTGCTGCCATCATAGACGCTTGAATACCATCTGCCCCTTCATATATGTGGGTGTTTCTGCAATGCCAGGCCGCCCAAGTCAAAGCAGCAAATACTTGCAGGAGCTCACTGTCAATTGTCTTATACATCCAAAGAAGTCTGTCAGCAAAGGAAGAGAGAGGAGCTCTTGCCAACAAATCACAAAAATCACTTACATTCCAGATCTCAGCAGCATATCTACACTTAAATAAGGAATGCATAATTGACTCCTCACCATTTCCACATATTGGACACACACTCGTCCCAGCAATGTGTCGCTTGTGTAGTACATCCATAACCCCAAATTGGCCCTTGCACGCCCTTCATAAAAAGTGAGACAGCTTTGGTGGACCTCTGATTCTCCAAACCACATCCCACACATCTTTCTCCCCATGATCATGATACAATTCCCATGTACGCAGCCTTCCTAAACGCCCCAGCCAGTAACCACTTCTAACAGTATATAAACCCGAGGAATTAGGCCACCAAAAACGAGTATCTCTCGAGGCAACGATGGGTAGGGGTATATCAAGAATAGCTCTCCTATCTTCTTCCATAAAAGTATCATTTAGCATGTCAACCTTCCAGTTTCCAGTAGTAGCATCCACCAAGTCAGCCACTCGCAGATTCAAATCACTATTTTCATTCGGTGTTGGGACAGAATGAGCACCTTGACCAGAGAGCCAGGCATCTTCCCATACCTTGATGTCGAGACCGTTCCCAACCCGCCACTGTAATCCCTCCAACAGTAAGGATTTCGCACCCCATATGGACCTCCAACTATAGCTAGGATCATGACCCCTAGCCGCATCAAGAAATTCTGAATTTTTATAGTATCTAGCCTTTAGAATTCCCCCCCCCCCCCCCCAGCAGAGGGCTGCATCCTGTACTTAAGCGCCAAGCTTGTTTAGCCAATAATGCTTAATTAAAACATTTCAAGTCCCGGAAGCCCATTCCACCCATAGCTTTGGATAGACAAAGGGAATCCCATGATTGCCAATGCATCTTGCGCTCGGTTCCATTCGATCCCCACCAGAATTTTGCAAAAATCGAATGAATCTCATCTACCAAAGACATTATTATCAATTTTTATTAGGTTGCCACATCTCAAAGCAAGAATGACATATTAAAATTCATACTAGAATGCGCGCTAAGAATGACACGTTAAAATTCACACTAGAACGCGCGCTACGAGCCTCCCTAGTGTCCTATAAAAGCACCAAGACACAAATAAGAAGTGCTCCTTATGAACAGTGTCATGCCGATATTACCCTTGATATTTGCCTTTAATTTTCTTATCTACAGTGGGTGGACTATTTTGCACTTCAATTAATTTACATGTGCACATGGCTAGTTTAGTGGTTCTACCTTTCCCTGTGTTTTCCTTTTTGTACTATAGTCCCTAGTAAGAAAACCCACACTTTTCTCTCTCTTTCGCACTACTCATCAGTCTCTCTCCTCCGACTCAAGTTAAGAGCTTTCTCTTTCAGCTTCTTAGAGGGTGTTTGTTTAGGGGATAAAAAAGGGAAGGATAACAATAAAAGATGAGGATAGAAGAAAAGTAGTGTTTGTTTAGAAAGATAAGGATTAAAAGGGGGTTGAGGATAGGGATTAAAACACCCCCTTATTCCTTCTTTTCTATAACTAAGGGGATGGTATAAGAGGAAAAAAATAAGAAATAGGCTTAAATTACCAAATTATACTTAATAAAATTAAAAGGATAAGGAAAAGGGAAGAAGTTAGTAATGGTGTTTTTATAATTTTACTACTTATTCCTAATTTATTTTTCATACTTATCAAACATGAAATAAAAATTACGTAGGATTTATCCTTGTCACACCTAATTCTCTACCGAACCGGCCCCGGTTAATATGCCATATTAACAAACTTTGTTAATATAGTGGCATTTTCGCAATTATGAGCACTGGATCGAAATATTTTAATGGTATTTTATTATTTTGGTGAGGTGGATTTAACTAGGCGTTTCCTAACTCTTGTAAAACCCCGTTTCTTCTTATTCAACCTTGGTACTCTCTCCTCTCTCTGATAATCTCAACCTTGTAAAACTCATCATTTTCCTCTTCCCTTCCTTTCTCTTCCCTCCCCTTCTTTTCCCTCCCACTTAGTTTCCCAACAACAATTAAAGCAAACAACCATATGATTAACCATTGGTTTAAAATTTAACAAAAATTTTCGAATCGCTTATTTCCTCTTCAGTGAGAAAATAGCCACCACACCGCAATGAGAAAATTGGTGTACAGATCCATCCGCCTACCACCTGTTTTAAACTTGTCCGTTAAATTGATTGTTGAAATCAACTGATAGGTCCCATATCATCACCTTACTTCTCCCGAATTGTAATTACTAAAGATCTGCAAGATTACATGAGTGATATATAATTTGGGGGGGGGGGGGGGAAATAGGTCAATTATGCGGGAATTGAATTAATTTGCATGTAGTGTAACGTTTCAATTATTTTAGATTATATTTTGCTGAAATTTGCTTTTTTTGCCAACCTTTTGATGATATAAATAATAAATGTCATAAGTTTGGGCATTTAGAATTAAGCTGCAAGCTTCTGAATTTTTGTTAATAAAAGTTGGCAGAATTGGATTTAATCCGAGTATGGAAGCCATTGATTTAGACTTGTCCAGCATAAATTGTTTGAAAGAGTTCTTGATCGTAAAGGGATAAGCAGATGGGCACTTATTAACTGGGTGGTAAGTGATCCCATACATGTTTTATTTTGTTCTAATCTTCAACTAATTGCTATGACTAGGTTAAGTAGCATATATTGTCAACCTTGTGAAGCTGGCCTTATCAAATTGAGAGGAGGTTGACTAATTGATAAGAGAGGAGTTTTAACTATTATCAATTCAAGACATGTTTGCATGCATAAATTTTGGAGATGCAAATATCTTTATAGTCATTTTTGCTTGTCTTGATGTGGGCAATTTAATACTATTTTGCCATATATGTCAGGTAATGGGAATGAGTTTATAGTGTTTACATGGAGAAAGAAGTGGTACAACACTTGCAGAAATGGAAGGGTAAATCAGGAAAAGAGCTCGCTGAGGATGACAATTTCCTTAGCAGAACAAACTGTTTTTAACAAATGACTTGTAACTCTACATTTGAAGTCTTGAAGAATTATAATGCTAATGTAGTTTCTTCGGATGATGTGTGTTATGTGTACAGCACCTGTAGAAACAGTTATTAAGGTGGTGGTGATCAAGGAGATTAAGGCTTCACAATAAGCCATGCAGCTAGACCGATTGGCAGCTATCGACAAGTACGAAGAAGAGAAAGAAGCTGCGCTTGAAAAGTTTGCAGATTTTTTTCACCAGATACCTTAAGAAAAACTCTTTTTCACTGTCAGCTTCTTTGATTCAGGCACAGCTGAGGTAAACTTACTACTCGAAAGACTGAATGAGTAGGTTACAGTGTCTTCCAGTGGCTATAGAGTTCTCATCGTTGGTCTTGAATGGAAGAGCTGAATTGTATGATATTTGGTTTCGTGTGGAGAGCTTGTATGATATTTGTTTGAGTTAACTAACATTCTATCTTCAATTGTGTTAAGTTTTGATGATGTTTGTTGAATTAAGTGATATGTCGCTGCAACAATTTTTGCTGAATTCCCGCAATAAAGTGAGATTAAATGGAGGTGTATACCTCACCTCAGATTAAATGGAGGACAGAAAGCTCAGAGTTTGCATCAATGGAAAGCTTGAAGTATGCCGCTTCAATGGAGGAGAGAGGAGAAAGAGATAGTAGTGTCAAAAATTCATTTTGGCGGAATTTCTTCTTCGTTGTTCCAGTGGGAAATTTCAGAGATTAGTCACTCAACCAGTCAACCCAACTCCAACAAAGACTGAGCTAATTAGATCTTAACACAATTACCAAATTTAGTTGCATTGCCTTGATTCCTATAAATCCTATAGCAAGGTAACTTAGATTGCTCCAGGCACTTCTCCAATTTTTCAATTCTTTTGGGATTATTTACAATTTGTTAATTTTACTTTGGGTTTTGATTAAATTTTTCCTTTATTTTTGTTGGGTTAGTTCATGAAGTTTAGTGGTCTGGTGCCATCTTATGAAATAACACTCAAAAGAGAATATCATTCACAAACTCAATGAGGTAATATTTTTGTTTTTAATCTTCGAAAATCGATTTCACAATCTGGGTTGTTCTTTGATTTTTTCCGCGGCTTGTTTTGTTTTATTTCGGTGAAGTGAGGAGAAAGAAAGTTTCTAAGTGTTTTTAATGGCGACCTCATCACCTGGCGTAGGCATGGAGCTCAAAATTAGCATCTTGGATGGAGTGGTTGTGGGTCATATACTGGTGTTCTCTCAAAATTGTGCTCGATCTTCTGATCACCTCTGGTATGTTCTTTGATTTTACGTTTGCTGAACTTTAGTTACCAATTTTTGAAACCCTCTTCTTCTTGTTTATGTTTGCTGTATAAATTAACTTAGACCTAGGTTGAATCGCTGCACTTATAAAGCACGAAGCTGATAGGTTGTTCATTCTCAACAAATCAACTACTAAAGTCATCTTCTTTCTCCAAAAAAAACACATTTTCTCTCAGATTTACTTGCAGATGGGGAGCTACTGTAAGATCTTTTTTGCACTCATTTATTGCATTTTGTTTCCTGTAACTTGATGTTGTAGTGTTGTTTACATTCTCTTAACATTACTCATGATTTCATGGAAAGCATAGTGCATTTACTTTGTGTCAACGAAACTGAGAAGCTGAAGGAAGGGTAGGGGGGTGGTTCTTGTACATGCATAAATATCTTTTAGCTCACAAAAAGTTTCAGATGCCTTGTTTGTGAAGTTTTGACAGTTGGATGAACTTAGATACTCATTAATTAGATGAATCATGCTCTATTAATTTGCAAAATTCTATTATATGTTGAATATTTAACATTGAGGGATTATCTTCTTAAGTTGTCCTTATTAGCTTTTGCTCTTATATCTCTTAATTTACAGAAAGTTCAAAGAATTATCAACACTTAATTATGAGTCTTTAGGCTCTAGAGTACAAGTAGTTGTACATGTATTTTTCATGTGATCTATTTTGCTTTTGACTTAGTCCTCATGTTGATGTTCAATTATGTGTGGTGGAAGACTATGCCACTGGAGAAAGGTTTCAACAGTTTGCTATCCAACTTTAATAACCTGAAAGTTTGGTATCCAACTTTAATAACCTGAAAGTTGACTTGAGAATCTTCTTCAGGAAAAGGAGAACCTTCAAGCTGAGGTATCTAATTCTGTTAATATCCTTGGTATATTCTTAGCTAAATATTTTCTTACAAGATTCTTTTGTTAATTGGTCAACTTTACATTAGGTTCAAGGGTAAAAAAAAAGTTTAGTTAAGTGATAAGTATTCTGATCAGATAAGTCGCTACCCAAGTGAAATCCACAACTAGAATAAGTCCTCCTTTAGGAATTCAATTTGTTCTTGACAATGGCTATATAGTAATTGGCAGTTAGCACAGACAAGTTGCTTCTTCTAGAGGACAAACGGAGGGAGATCAATCTGAAACACCAAACACACACATGCATCATCAAAAACAGTCCAAGAAGATCCCATTATTGAATTTGCTTATGAGAGTGAGGATCACCTAGCATCAGTATTAGGCTGCAAACATGAACACCTGAGCTCTGTCAAGAGCAATGATGATATCCCGCACTATGTGGATGTTAGTCATTCTCCTTTTTAGTGAGCTCTCTCAGCTCAAGGCATGAATTCTCTTTTTATTATTATTAATTAATAACAACCTCAAGTTGGAAGAATTCTTTTATTTTTAAAATAGATTTTAGTTGTTATCCTTTGCTCAACTGCGAATTAAGGGTGAAATAAGAAATACTTTGATATAGTTACTAAAGAAGGTAAAATGGGGTATGAGGCAAATAGGATTAAACTTACTAAACTGTTCAAACCGTATAACATGAGCTAGATGGAGGAAGAGGTAACAAAAAGCTTTGAGGAAGAGTGTTTAAATGGAGAAAAAAAAATGGGAAAGAGGGAGAAATATGCAAGAGAAGATACAGAACAATGAAACGGAAGGAAAAATTGAAGAGAAATATGAAACGGAAGAAAAAATTGAAGAGAACTATGTAATGGAAGGAAAAATACTTCTTTTGGTTTGTATAACCATACGAGAGAGAGAGAGAGAGCTATAAGTTATGAAGTCATTAAAAGGGAGACAGGAAAAGGAGAAAGAAAGAAAAAAAAGGAACGAGAGTACTTTTTAGGGTGGAATTGAGTAAGGAGATGTAAATATTGTAGAAACTTTCTAAAATACTCAAAATCAGAAAAGACTTATCGAGCCTTTTAAACCCAACTTGTTCTTTTTGCAAAAACAATTAATCTTGATGACATCTTGTCTTCACTAATGTATAATTACCTTGAATACAGTAATGATAGGTGTTTTCATTTCAACAATACATGTAAATGGACTCTGTTTAATGAGTTAATTCAGGTTTCAGTTTACTCGTGGTTCTTTTCAAGATACATACTTATGATTGAGGATCATAGGATATGAAAATTATGATGAATTTGCGATTCACTTTTGTATTTCTAGAAGTTTGGTTAGAAAGCTGACAAACTCCCTAAAATGATACGGACTGGTATTTTTATTATCTATATACAGGTCCAACACATGTTTAGCAATTAGCAGAGCTGTTAAGGATAAGTATTGATGTTTTTTCTGAAATCTGCTGTTTTTTATGTGTGTAATTTTTCTTATCTATATTTTTTCTGAGTTCTCCTCTTGGTATATCATAATTGGCACTAACATTTGTAATATAATCAAGAACATTAATATAATTAGAACATTGCTAAAATCGGTTAAAGAAGAAGCATCATAAACTAATTAGGCTGTCAAGTGCTAAAAGAAAGCCATAGTCGTCTCTCTGGGGTCGAAGAAGCTGTCTATAAGAACATCAAAGCCTGTGAAAAACCATTATCCTTTTACCAAAACCCGATTGATTTATGCAACTACTATTGTGGTTTTCAATTCGGTACGTTTTAGAGAACATAAATTGATGGGTTTTAAACATAATTTGGCCCAAACATAAATAAAAGCTAAAAATAATGGAAAAGCTGTTAATTGTTGTGGTTAGTGGAGGTTACATTGGTCTGGAGCTTTGTAAATTCAACAAATTAGATGTCTGTATGGTGGTTTACTCTGAGACTGATTGTTAATGATGATCATGATCTTATCATCTTGATTGTTAATACAATTCAGAAGGATTTGAAATCTGATAATTATCTTGTGGTTTCTGCTTCTTTGAATGCGTTTTGTCGATTGATCAATGAGAAGACTATTCCTGTGGTTTTGCCCCAGCTTGTTGACATGCTTAATCACCCTAAAGAGGTTGTTAAGAAGAAGGCTGTTATGGGTTTGCATCGGTTTTATCAGCAGTCCCAGTCTTCGGTTTCGCACCTCGTCTCAAATTTTGCAAGGTGAAAAGATTTCTTTCTTTCTTTCTGCATTATGTGAATTATGGGTTTGAATTGTGGATTATAATGTTTATTATGATTTGTAATTTTGTTAAATTAGTATAACTGTGCAGTATAGTAGCATTTGTGTCCTGAAATAACTGGAAGAATTTGCATGTCCATGTGTGATGCCCTGGTTAACTGAAGTGAAAGTGAACTTCTATCTGGTTTTAGCATTATATCAGTGGCTATTGTAATATGCCTCTGATTTAACACTTCAAAAAGGTATTATGCTTACTATTTCCAACACTATTGATTTAAATAAAGGTTTCTTGCTGTCTCAATGATGACAAATGTCATAGAGAGATCTAATAGAAGAGAGAGGGAAGCACTGATTCTCATTTAATTCACCGAGCTCTGCAAAGCAGCTTACATTTTATATACAATGATGCTCAACGGTAACAAAACACTAAGGACAAAGGAATAAACAAAAAGGACAGCCCACCATTCTAAATGGCAGCTGGTACAGTGCTCACAACAAGACAAGAAAAGAGAATAAAAGAAACAGCTAGGAAACTTCCTCTCATCACTCCCCCTCAAGCTTGGTGTGGAAGATCAGTAACTCCAAGTTTGTTCAGTAGATATTGATGTTGTTGTACTGGCAGGATTTTTGTTAAGATATCAGCAAGTTGCTCTGAGCTGCAGACATAGGTGGGCTTCACTGAACCATCTTGAACTCTTTCTCTCACAAAGTGTTGATCAATTTCAACATGCTTGGTTTTCTCATGCAACACTGGGTTTGAAGCTATGGATATGGCTGCTTTGTTGTCACATCTCAAGATTGCTGGCCCAAGGTTTTTGATCCCCAAGTCCTTGAGCAAAGCATTTAACCAAGTTACCTCACAGATTGTGAGAGCCATTGCCCTGTACTCTGCCTCAGCTGAGGATCTGGCCACCAAGGATTGCTTCTTAGCCTTCCAAGACACTGGTGAATCTCCCAAAAGAATGCAGTAACCTGTTGTAGATTTTCTAGTGATAGGACATCCAGCCCAGTCACTATCACAGTAGGCAGTGAGTATAGCTGCTGACTCACTAGCCAGCAGAATGCCTTTGTCAGGGGAACTTAAGAGATATCTTAACACTCTCTTAGCTGCCTGAAGATGCACAGTAGTAGGAGCTTGCATGAACTGAGCTAGCACTTGAACAGAGAAGCTTATATCAGGTCTTGTGATGGTGAGATACAACAGTTTTCCCACCTCTGGTAAAAAATCTCCCATATCAGGTGTGAGTTTAATGTGAGTATCCATAGGGATCTTCACTGGTCTTGCTTTTGTCATTCCAAATTCTTTGATCACATCTAGAGCATATTTCTTTTGAGATATGAATATTCCTGAATGTGAATGTTCAATCTCCAGACCCAAGAAGTATCTCAATTTGCCAAGATCTTTCATTTTAAATTTCTTGGACAGAAGATCTTTCAAGTTATCTATTTCTTGTTGATTGTTCCCTGCAATCAGCAGATCATCAACATAAATAAGAACAGCAACAAATCTGCTTCCTGACTGTCTGGTGAAGAGAGAGTAATCTGCTCTAGACTGAATGTAGCCAAAGGATTTCAGAGCTTCAGTCAGCTTGGCAAACCATTGTCTGGGTGCTTGCTTGAGTCCATACAAGGATTTCTTCAATTTCAGCACTTGATTTTCTGCAAGCTCCCCCTGATTTGGATTGATAGGCAGTCCAGGTCCCACATATCCTTTTGGAATTTTCATGTACACATTCTCACTCAATTCTCCATGAAGAAATGCATTCTTCACATCCATCTGGGTTGTAATCCAACCCTGCATAGCTGCAACAGCTAACAATGACCTTACAGTGGTCATCTTTGCAACTGGTGCAAAGGTTTGATCAAAGTCAATCCCTGGTCTTTGTCTGCAACCCAAGATTACCAATCTAGCTTTCTTTCTCTCCACAGTTCCATCTGGATTCAACTTAGTTTTGAAAATCCACTTGCTTCCGATGGCCCTTTTACCGACTGGCAAAGTTGTATGTTCCCAAGTTTCATTTGCTTCAAGAGCCAACAGTTCTTCATTCATAGAATCATAGCTGTTATCCAAGTTGGATCATTTTTTGCTTCATTGAATGAGATTGAATCAGCTTCCTTGGTCACACTTGCCAAAAAGCAATAGAATTCTGAGGACACACCGACATTACTATCTTTGGCTACATTCAAGCTCAGCATTGAGAGCCACTTTCTTGTAATCCTTCATCCAGAAAGGTTCTTGTCTTGGTCTGGTAGATTTTCTAATCTCAGGCTGCTGAGTTTGTGGTTCTATGTGTTCTGACCTATTTTGTGAAAGTGATGGTGGTGGGTTGTCAGCAGGAGAGCTAGGAACTTCATCAGTATTTTGTGTGACACTATCAGAAGCAAGATGTATAGGTGACAAGTCTTCATACTGCAAAGGAGAGGGTGTTTGTGGTGTATCTGTGGGAACAGGCTGAAGAATGCTTTTGAGAGTGGCATTGTTGTAAGGAAAGATGTGTTCATGGAATTTTACATCCCTTGAAACAAATCTCTTTTGAGTAAAAAGATTCATGAGCACAAAACCTTTGGTATTGGGTGGATATCCTAAGAAGATACAGGGCACACCCCTAGGATTAAGTTTGTCAGGTTTTAATGTGGGATTATAGGCAAAAGCCAAGCACCCAAACACTCTCAGTTCATCATAGGCTCGGGGGTTTTTTGTGAAGCTTTTGGAAAGGAGTTTGATTAGCTAGGATAGGTGTAGGTAGTCTGTTAATTATGTGAGCAGCCACAAGAACACAGTCACCCCAAAAACTCAAGGGAAGACCAGATTGAAACCTAATTGCCCTGGTAATTTCCAGCAAATGCTTATGTTTCCTCTCTGCTCTTCCATTTTGTTGAGGTCTCTCAACACATGAAGTTTGATGCACAATACCACATGCAGCAAATAGAGGGTTTGCCTTGGTGTCATCTAACTTAAGGGCATTATCAGACCTAACAGTCTTCACCTTCCTACCAAACTGAGTTTTTGCATAATTCACAAAAGTTTCAAGAATGTTCAAAGCCTGAGATTTCTCTTGCAGAAGATATATCCATGTATATCTACTATGATCATCTAATATAGTTAGGAAAAACCTAAATTTTCCCTTGAAATTCACCTTGTAGGGACCCCATATGTCAATGTGAATAATCTCAAATGGAGATTTTGCCACTGACTTGCTCAACTGAAATGGTTGTTTGACAAATCTAGCCATAGGGCAGGTTATACAAGTGCAGTCATATGACCCCATCTGATCAGCTAAGGCAGGAATCAGTTTCAGTTTAGGTGTGGGAGCATGCCCAAGTCTGTTGTGCCAGAGTGTGAACAGTTCTACACTGGTATGAGCTTCACTAGAGGTTGCTTTACCACCAAAGGCAGAGCAAAGAGCTTTCAATTTCACAGAATCAGCAGGACTGTCTATGAGATAATATAACCCATTGTGAAGTTTTCCCAGACCCACAATTTTTTGGTCACTATTACCCCTTATCAAACAAAAACCAGAATGAAACATCACATTACAATCATTATCTCTATTCAGTTTATTTACACAGAGAAGATTATGTTTGAATGTAGGCACTCCCAGAACACCTTTCAACAATAGACCATCAGCAAGTTTTATGTCACCAATATGAGATATTTTAGACACAACACCATTAGGCAAGTTAATGCTAGGGATATTGTTAACCAAAACAGAGTTTTTCATAGCATCAATTTTATATGTCATATGATCAGAAGCTCCCGAGTCTATAATCCACACATTTCCATCAACAGCAGCATTACAACATGTCACCATACCACCAAATATATGTTCTAACTCATCATCAGTTTCAACTACAGCAGAGGATGAGTTAGCATTCATACCAGAGAATTTCTTCAGAAATTGGTTGAATTGAGTTGCTGTGAAGGTTACTGATCCAGCATCTGAGGAGCTTTCTGGGTCTATCTGTCCCATTGCAGCTACTTTGGTTTCTGTTTTGGGCTTGCCCTTCCCTTGCTGCTGTCTTCTGGACTTTGGATGCCATTTTGGGTATCCTACCACCTCAAAGCACTTTTTGGCGTAGTGTCCTTTCCCACCACACACATTGCAGACAACTTCAGAGTTTTTGCTAAACATAGCTGCTGTTTCTACCTCAGGTTTCACAGATTTGAGCACTTCTCTCTGCGATTCCTCTTGTCGTTTCAACAGTTGGAAGAGGAACCATTAGTAGGAGCTGACTTCTCTGAGGCCCGTAATCTTCATCAAGTCCATTTAGGAACTGGAACAAGCGACTCTCCTCCTGCTGCCTTTCCATAGCCCGCAGGAAAGCAGTAATGTCTGTACCCGTTGTGGTTATGGTTGGCAGAGCACTCATCGCTTCCAGTTCCTGCCAGAGACTCCTCATGTTGGTGTAATACTCGTGCACCGGCGCACCACCTTGCTTCAGCCCATACAGATCTCTGCTGATCTTGTATTTGCGCGACCCATCTGTGAGAGAGAACTGTTTCTCAAGGTGTGACCATATCATCCTTGTTGTGCTCAGGAACAGTATTGAGCTTTTGATAGAGTCCGACACCGAAGCATGAATCCACCCTATAACGGTGGAGTTGCAGGTGTCCCACAACTCCGCCTTGACAGAGTCATCAATTGGGCGACTTACGCTCCCTGTCACAAACCCGAGTTTGCGCTTTGAGGACAGAGTGATTTCCATCGATCTTCTCCAGGTCCGATAATTGCCAGATCCAGTGAGCTTGGAGACGGCAATGGTATGAGTACCATCAGAAGGATGCAGATAGAGTGGATTCGTGAAGTCCAAAGAAACATTAACGTTTGTTTCTCCAACCATTTGGATATTAAGGAAGATGGTTTCAGCAAATCTAGGTCAAAATCAATTTGGGAATTTCAATTGAAAATTTGCGAAATTGCTCTTCGAATACAGCAAGGCTTCCTACAATCTACAGCTCTCAATATCTAATTTCAAAGCAACCTGGCTCTGATACAATGATGACAAATGTCATAGAGAGATCTGATAGAAGAGAGAGGGAAGCACTGATTCTCATTTAATTCACCGAGCTCTGCAAAGCAGCTTACATTTTATATACAATGATGCTCAACGGTAACAAAACACTAAGGACAAAGGAATAAACAAAAAGGACAGCCCACCATTCTAAATGGCAGCTGGTACAGTGCTCACAACAAGACAAGAAAAGAGAATAAAAGAAACAGCTAGGAAACTTCCTCTCATCACTCAACTAATTACATCTTAAACATTTTATGTATGCAGGTGCAACTAATTACATATAATACATGAGAGTAGAAAACAATAATAGCAACATCCTAGGTTTTCCAATCTAAAATTATTTCTATACACTTTGAATGTATCACAAAATCTGATTTTGTGAAAAACAACTTCTATCTTTTCTTATTTAATTTCACAAAACAAATGTCCTTTATTTCAAACAATCCAGGGCAAAGAGACAGACAGTGAAAAAGATATTTGCTTCTTTATTTCAAACAAATGTCCTTTAATGATATTTGCTTCTCCCACGAAAAATGGGGGGGAAACCCCCACTCTCTGCAAAAAATGAAAAGTTACAAAGATGCTATGGATTTCTGCAATCTTATAGACCTGGGATATATAGGGGCTAAGTATACTTGATTGAGTGGAATTCCATGTGCAGCAAGGGGGAAGTTGGGGGAGTAATTGATTCAATTTGAATTTCATTCCTGGAATCAATTTCATGAAGGAGAGAGAATAAAATTTGGGGGAAAAATTAAAGGCTTAGGGGAAGAAGGGAGGTATCCGTGGGAAAATAGAGGAAAGAAAAAAAAAAGTCACGTGCCACCCCAAGTCAACGCCGGAATAATTTGGTCAATTTCCTCTTTCCGATGTCAAGGTCCCCCGCCGCAACCAAAATCGTTTAAAAGGTCCTTCTATGCCACTTTCGATTTATAAGGTCCTTCCTTGCAAACAAGTCCATTTAAAAGATCCTTTGATGGAAATTTTCCTTTAGTTAAACGTTGTGTTACTCACACTCTTCATTTCATCTCAAGTACCTATGCCCAATCTTCAACAACTCCAATAAAGTTATAAACAGAACGTGCATATAAATTTATCGTAAAATGGCCAACTACAACACTTGGACATAATGTACCAAAGTATGACATGAGTATATATCATCCGGGAAATTAATGATCAACTTGAATGAGTTAATTTACCTGATCAGAAGTATCATTTCGCTTATTCTTAATCATGAAAAGGTTGTCTCCGCTAATGTTGTCACCAAAATGCTCAATAAACTGTTGCTTGGTCATGTTAATCTCGTCATCTGTTACTAGATAGCCTCGATCATTCAGCATTTGCATTACAGTTTTCCGAACTCTATGGAGTTTCGTAATTTCTTCATCAGAGGACGACATTTCCTACCAAGAATGCCCACAAAAAATAAATTTGGGGTCACTTTTGTACGAAACACCAATTAGTTTATGCCGATTCATAACAGCACAGAATTGGAAATTTGGCATGTAGAATCTAGATATAGCTAATTAATCACACATTCACACTAACATGTCATAGTTCAAAATTCAAGTCGATACTAGCTAGATATTAAATGAACCCTAGACGAAATAACAAGGACCCCATAGACAAAAATATTGTACGTATTGGATTGTAATTTTGTAACATACTATACGAAATACTGTTATATTCTACATAAGAGTTACGTATAAACATACAATTTACAATTGTATACTAGCAGAATCGCAAAAAATGTGAACTTTCAATATAATACACGGGTTAATTACAAAAACTAACTACAATCAACCATAAATGAAACAATATTGATGTTAGAGAAAATGAGTAATCATAGCCAAAGAAACATTAAGATCGGACCTTTATGCATTAGCATCAAGTATTTTGCATGGGTTTTAAGATTAAGCTCAAGAAATTAGTCAAAAAATAAAAACCAAAAAAAATTAAGTGAGAATTTTTCTTACAGGAGGGTTTGTAATAGCGTCAGATTCAGGCGGCGGCAGATAGTGGAGAAGGCAGGAGAGAGATTAGAAATGCAAAATCCCAACAATATTATCCAAGCTCCTACCGTATGAAGTATGAACCACTACTTGTATGATTTACAACATTCTCCGTATGATTGCTCCTTTCACAAATGTTTTATTGACCGTCACATAATTCAAGTGTCACATGAAGACGGATTATCCATAAATTATACTCGTAATTCCTTTATTTTACTTTTGTAGAATAGAGCAGTAAATGCGCATGTTACATGTGTCATAACTTGGCATGCTATATTTGGAGAGTTTTTTTTTAGTTTAGTCTTATGTCACAATTTTAATTTTTGTCAGCATTAAGAAAGGAAAATATGTAAATAAATATTTTTTAAAAAATCTAAATGTTTGCACACTATTAAAAAATGACAATTAACATGAACGAAAGCAAATAAATAATGAAACATAAAAGACATGATTTCAAAAAAAAAAAAAAAAAAAAAAAATATTAAAATACATACTTGTAATTGTCTTAATACTATTCATAAGTGTAAAAAGGTAGGATGAGTGTGTAACCTTGTCTTGACTGTATTGGTAAAAATTTACCCTACACCGACCCTAGTGTAGGGTGTTCTGCCTACACCCCTATGAAGCTACATTGTTTTGTAGCTAGGTAGGGTACTAGGGTGTTCTACCTACACTCCTAGATTTAACAAGTAACAACCTTTTTTTTCTTTTTTCTTCCGTTATTAGTTTCTTTTTTTTTTTCTTCCTTTTTTTTTTTAAATTCCTTTCTTTACTTATTATTCAAGCTATGTATATACTACCTCCGTTAACTATTATTTGCAACAAAAGGATATTATTCGTGAGATATAAAATATTCTAGTATATGATTTTAAACCCACATTTTCTCTCTCCTTAATTGATCTTTATTTGATTTTAATACATTCATTCTCTCTCCTATCATTGTTTTTATGTCTTATTTTATTTCAACTAATTTTTCTGCTTATTTTCTCTAATTTTGATACTGACTGTTGCGCATCAATGGCTATTTTATTAATCTATGTTTGAGAACTGCCTAGATTTTTGTTGGTATTTAATTTCTTTTCTTTTTTGTTGTCTTTTTAATCAAGTTTATAATGCTAAATATATGTTTTATCATATATACTTATGTTTGTGATATAATAATTAATTAATGTTCATTTTTAAAGTGATAAATGATCATTTGTGTATACGGTTTTGTTTTGATAATATTATATGTTAAAATTTTAAAATTTGACCATTTGTAGTTTTGTTATTGAACATTATGTATTAATGATTGATCATTTTTAAAGCTATTTATGATCATTTACAATTGTACATTATAAATTTATGCAGTGGAAAAAAAAGATAATATTGTTTATGAGAAGCAACAAGCTCTAAAATTTATTAATTAATAATTGTTGATCAAATCTGCGTTGTAACTAATTTTAAGGTGATTTGTACTTGTATTGAAATTTTAGATTTCTTAGGATTTGCTTTTAAGTGCCGTTTGGCTATCTTTTATTAACGAAATCTTTGTTCAAAAAAAAAATAAAAAAAAAAAACTAGTGTTGAAATGAACCAATTTTCATGTGTAAAATGAACACGGATGAGTATGACGCGACAATCGACATGATATTAATTAAAGTCGTTCAATATAGAAATGATAATTTGTTATTATATAAATGAACATATAGTATATTGCAAATGACCATGAAATTAAAGATGTTAATCAGCTAACATAATATATATATATATATATATGGGGGAGCCCTTAGGATTAACTACGATTCACGTAATGACATCAATTAACCCGAAATTATTTTTCATAAATTCGGTAACCAACCCATATTATAATAACATGAAACGGAGATAATATGATAATAATACTATTTTTTAAAATAAAAATAAATAAATAAAATAAATAAATAAATAAAACTTTTTTGTTCTTTAAAATGTCTCCCTCACACTTATCATAATTCACGAAATCACGAGTGCGTCTCTTTAGTATAAAAGTCCTCTCTTTAGTTTATAAGTCCTCAAGTTGTATCACGTATTTGTCATCCCTCTTTTCCATAGCAGATCATGTCTTATTTTGAAGACTTTAAAAACAAGCGAATATAACTTCCTTGTAAGGGCTAGCCATCCCGTGCTCACCATGCGCGTTGGCTCCCCTAGTTAAGTTAAATAAATCATGATTAATGTAGAATGACGTATTAGCGTGCTTTCAGTCATTATAACACTGGTGTAGATCCAACTACAGTTTATTTAACCAATTTTAGTCTTTTCACTGATGATTGCTAAGTGAGACAAAGACCATGTTTGGTAAATGGCTTCTTGATGGCTTTTTGGTTAGCTTTTGGCTTTTTATGTGGTCAATTAGCCAAAAAATGTGTTTGGTAATTGGCCTTTTAGTCAGCGAAAAAGCTGGCTTTTAAGCCAAAATGAAAAAACTGCTTTGAGTAGCTTTTTTTATTGGCTTGTTGGCCCACAAACTATCTAATAAACAGCCAATAGCCAACAATTAATTTACCACATGTTTTTATAAACAACCAATTTAAAAAGTCATTGTAAACAACCAAACATTCCAGCTGGTCAAAACAAGACAAGTGAACCAGCCAACAACCAACCGCCAACAGCCATTTGTCAAACAAGGCTAAAGTCCATTGGCGAAGCGTAAGTGTACAAAAGTCCGGATAATCAAGTTCAAAAAAAGATCAAAGGCTAGTTCAACATATAAGTTATACACATGTAATCATTTAGTCATAAATGATGCAATGAATTTCGTAATATGACCAAGGCTCTATGTTCAAACTATGGTCAATTTGATAACTGGAGTCAAAAGAGGGGTTCATGGTTAAGAATTTGGACGCATAGCATGGTGGCCTTGGCCTACCTATGAGGGGCAAGCATTATGGGTGAAATTCCGCGGGTAAAACCTGACTCCACAGTTGGGTGAACTTACAAACTTAGATAAATCCTTGCATTGCCATGAGCATTTTTTCGGATTGATAGAGCGTAAATCCCTAGCGGGTAAGATCGTATGTAGAACTCACACATATTCAAAAATGCTTCCCGCAACTAAAGGCGTTCAAAAAAATCCGACCCGAAATATCCTATTTGAAAATCCGAATCGACTTGAAATTTCGAGTATCCCATCCGGTTTTTCATGTTTTGTATATTTCGGATCGAGTACGGATTGATAATTTTTCGAAAATTTTAACAATCTGATCCGAAAATCCCATGATCTGAAATCCGGATATCCGAAAATGTTGAATATGATTCAGATTGAGATTTCTCCAATTTGATATCCGAAATTGAACACCCCTACCGTTATTAATTGACAACTACTCATCAATTCTAACACCTATCCGCTACTCGATTGTTAAAACGCTCCTTGGCTCCACGGTAGTTTTACCAAACAAGACTTTAGTACTAGTATATACGAAGTACGCCGTATTAATTACGGGTAATCTCCAACCCTGCAAGGCTGCAAATCTTCCTTTCTCTCTCCACTCTCGATTATTGAAGATCTGAATTCAAAAGTGGAAAGCGAGAGAGAGAAATCAAGGCATTATACGGTCTTCAATTAATCCCCAAATATTTAGGGCTGGCTTGATCTTGAATTTTCGATTCAATTGGTAAATGTTTGCAATTGAGGCTTAAATTTCAGATGCAATTAGGGTTTTTTTCTTCTGTAAATTGCATCAGGAATGAAATTTTGCGGAGTTAATTAAGGAGGAAATAATGGTGGCATCTAGGATTTTGATTGGAGGAGGAGGAGGAGATGAAGGAAAATTGAGAGACGAAGAGAGTGCGAAAATGGAGGATTCGCCGTCGAGCAAGAAGACGAGATTAGACGGTAGGTTTCCATTGACGAGGTGGGAGCTAGCTGTTGCTATGACGGTGTTCTCCGTCTTCGTCATCGGGTTGTTCTTCATTTTCATGAAAATGCCTGCTGCTGAGTATGGCAAGATTAAGGTTCCTCGCACCATCTCTGATCTTCGATTGCTCAAGTATTATTTCTCTCTCCTCTCTTTCCCTTCTTTCTGTGATTCTTTAGGTGGAAATGCTATATTGATTGGAGTTGGTTCCATGTTTATAATTTGAATGTTATTATTTGTTTTGATGGAAGATTCTTCTTCAAGCTTCTTTATTAGAACTATATTACTGTATCAGTTGTTTAATTGTAAATTAGCATTTTGTTTTTGGAATGGATTTTCAAGTTTTGACTAGTTTTGAGATTGTCCCATTGAACAAGGGGATTTGCTAAAATAACTGCTTAGGAGGTTTAGTAATAAGTAGTGGAGGGAGTGCAAAATTGGTTTTTGTTTTTGATAACCAACCAAGCTAACCCACCGTCATTACCAAGACCCATCAACAACCACCCACACCGCCTTCACCACCACCTACTAACCCAGCCACGCTACCCCCACAAGCCCAGACCCACAATACCATACCCAGCAGACCAACGAAATCAAACCCAGAACCACCCACGCCACCCCCACGAGCCACCCAGACCCACAAAACCACCCATGCCACCCCTTCTAATTAAGTGGTAAGTGGTTGGCGGATCTTGGTGTTTTATTTAGGTTGGGGGGGGGGGGGGTTCACCCCACTTAAGGGAGGATCTGTAGGAGTTGGTGTAGTGGTTTTAATGTGACAAGATAAGAGACGCATGAAAATTCAATATATCAAGTTTAGTTCTCTGTTTTTTATCAAATGGATGGTTTTTATTTTTATTTTTTTATTTTTTTTAGATGTTAGTTTATTTTTTTTAAGATGGTTGTTTTATTTTTAAAAAGTAAGACAAAAATGAAAGGAGTATTTTGGGAAAGTGAAATTTATCATCCAAAACCCCCTTTCGCTTTACATATAGGATAAGTCTGGAGATAAGAATCATGCACTGATTTGATTACAGTTATCCATGTATTGTGATTTATGGAGTTTACGAGTTATAATGCCTACTGCATGATACAAGTAATATGATCAACATGGGAGATGATGTCAAGCTGTGTGATTTTCCTAATTCTAATTGATAAACTCATAGATGGTTCTTGGAATTCTTACTACCTAAATTATTTGCGCACAAGTCACTTGAATTCAGCTTAGATTGACTATTTACCCATTTGAAGTTCTATGGGTATATGATTTGTTACCTTCGCACTGTTGCTTTTAACAAGAAAGAATGATTTTTTGACCACTAACTTGAATTCCGTAGATATTTTACAAAGTAAGTTTTTCCCCTACTCTTTGTGCATCAAATACAATCCGTCTTGTGTGCATTCTGTTTCTGGCGTTTTCTTACTTTTCTCTTTGCAACTTCTTCAGAGATAACCTTGCAATATACGCAAATGACCATCCAGCACAATTCATTCTTGGTTACTGCTCAGTATATATCTTCATGCAGACTTTCATGATTCCTGGGACTATCTTTATGTCTTTGCTTGCTGGTGCTCTCTTTGGTGTTTTTAGAGGCCTTCTCTTGGTTGTGTTTAATGCAACTGCTGGAGCATCATGTTGTTATTTTCTGTCTAAGCTGATTGGGAGGCCTATAGTTAACTGGTTATGGCCTGAAAAGTTGAGATTTTTCCAAGGAGAGGTATATTTTATAGCATGTTTGATTTCAACTAATGCCTTATGCTCTGATTTGTGCTTTCTTCGATGACCTTGGACTCTGGTCTTCCCTATTAGTGACATTTTTCTGTATAATATTACAGACTGCAAAGCGTAGGGAGAAGTTGATGAATTACATGCTTTTCTTGAGGGTCACCCCAACCCTGCCTAATCTTTTTATCAACTTGGCGTCTCCCATAGTGGATGTACCATTTCATGTCTTTTTTCTAGCTACAATTGTTGGTCTTATTCCTGCCTCATTTATCACTGTAAGGGTAAGTGCATCCTCTTTATGTATAGCTGCTGCTGCTGGTTCTTTAAAAATTCTGGGCTATTGTGCTTTAAAGGTTAATTTATTACGTGTGTTGATATTCTGTTCTTATGTTCTCTGTCCTCACTAACTATTGACGAATGAGAGATAGCAAAGATAGTGCGGGTGTTTTGTGGTGATCTTATTGGGGCAAAATTAGAGGATTTGGCCAATTTTAGGTGATTGGCCTATACAATGAGTTAAATAGGGTCATAGGATGTTTGGTGGTCAACTGATTTGATTTGACCCAATAAGCTAATTTCTACGTAATAAGTTGCTTGGAGCTGCTTTTTCATTAGCTTATTCAATTATTGTAATATAAGGTGAAATGACAATTATACTCTCATAAAGACAAACCCTACCACAACTACCTACCCCCACAATATGTCAATGTTATAACTGGTCATTTTGCATAAACAAATGTCAAATCAAGAAAAGACCTTGTTGCTTTTGATGTTAATATAACCATCCGCATCTATAATTTTTGCCTCTCTATATGGTTGGCACTGGCACTGCGTAATTCTGTGTCTTCCTTGACTCGATGAGGTAGTCCATTTATTATGGCTGATTTTTGCGTTGTTTTTAAGTTATGTTTTGCTTACCTCTAAATCTTTAAGTCAGGCTTTACATACAAGTTTTGTTGTGGATTGTTTCACAATCAGGGGGAACTTATAGTGCAATGGGGTTTGGTTAATTACTTGATAAGTAGTGGCCATTGGTTAATTTCTAGGCCATGGTAGCATAGATTCTCAACCTCCTACCCTAGTAAGGATATTTATAAACTGTACAGGTGGATGATCATTTGGATTCGTAAGTAGCATAAGCAGTTGATCATCTGACATCTAAAGAGAATGACTTTTGAGTATTTTAACTAGATACATTCATTGTTGTACCTCAAATCAAAGCTATCCATTCTTGGATAGTATGTGCAAGGAATCAATATTTAAGGAAGGTTATGTTAGTTATAGTCTATTAGTAGTAACTTGGGCAATAAGCTAGAGGTTTGTTATGAGGGATTTTCTATAAATAAGTTTCTTTAAGAGGAAAGGAGACATGTTGAATATTGTGCGGTTTGTCATTGGGAGAGAATGAGCCTCTCGAAAGCTCATATTTCCTCTATTCTCTTTTAAATGCAACATTTCTCATTACATGCTTGCCAATGCGTTATTCCAATTGTTAATATCTTTAATACTTAATATGGAGAAATTATAACAATTAGAAATTAATAAGCTAAACCGAGACGAATCTAACAAGATCTCACATGACTATATCTTTTCTTAACTATAAATAAATAAAACTAGTCAAAGTGGAGTATATGAATAGTGCAAAAGTCAAAGTGTTGCATTTAAAAAAGAACGGAGGAAGTACTTAGGAGAGAATTCACCTCTTTGAAAGTGATTTACTGTGATTCTTCTCTTCTTAAAATACTCTCCATTTTCTTCTTATTTTCTGCCATTATTAGTGCTGTAAGCCATGTCAGTTCCTAGCAGTATGTAGCAGAGATATGGTTTGGGTTTCTGAAATGGTAACATTTCAGAAACTTGAAAACCTCAAGTTCCATTTATGTGTTTCATTAGCATAGAAATGTTGGGGTTTTCGGAATCTGGATAATCTCAAGTCCCATAAGTTTCTTTGCTTTCTAGCTTTAGATTTAGTAACAATTACTGAGGCCATTCATGATGATTAGAGTCCAGGTTCCGAAGTGGTTAGTATCTTATAGATTTAATCTGTATACATATTGAGCATTTGAGCTAAATAGCTTAGAGCCAAGTGCGGTAATGGTTCATGGTTTAGGTGCTTTGGCAGCTATATATTTTCACTGTGTGAATTACCAAACTTTTCTCTTTAGCTTTGATCTCATGATTGTTTAATGGGTTTGCTTGTCGTCATGGAGTGCTGTCAGTGTTCAACTCCTGGTTTCTAGTTTGTTCTCATATATATTTTGTCCTAATATCAGGCTGGCCTTGCGCTTGGGGAGCTGAAGTCTGTGAAAGATCTGTATGATTTCAAAACACTGGCTGTGCTTTTTCTGATAGGTTCTGTCATTATATGTCCTGCTGTTCTGAAGAGGAAGAGAACCTATGAATAAGTGAGGTAATTGTTACTTGTGATTTTACGGTTGATGACCCTCATGGCTCTAACAGTCTAGCAGAACCTGATGACCCTCATGGCTCCAACAGAACCTGATGACAACCCTCTGTTTGTTACGTATGATTTTACGGTTGACGAGGTAAATGTCGACTTGTGGTCATTGTGGACCATAAGATTTGATTGACACAATCACGCATATAACATTTGATTGACCTAGAGGTTTTAGTCTTAATCCGTGGATTACTTGTAGAAGAGTAAGATTGGTGGTGCAATTATACTTTGGATGTCTGTAATCTGCCCATGTTCCTTTTACCTTAGAAAATGGTTCTAGGACTTCTTCTAACCATTGTATGAATCAATATGTTGGTTGCAGCATTTGCAATACTTTATAGTATATGTAAAGATTGTAAACATAGTTTACTTTGGACGTACGTCCTCCAGAGTCCAGTCATACTTGTGAATATCATTAGCATTTTTTAATTTCCCTTGAATATCATGAAATTCTGTGAGCTTATTATTTTTTATTTTTATTTTTTAATATTCAATATTATGGATAACCCAATTTTTAAGGTTTTTTTTTTTTTTGAAATAACCATCCCTCAAATCAGAATTAGTATTATATTATTATATACTCCATACCCTATATACTCCATACCCTATAAATAAAAACTCAAATAATATGAATTTTATAAATGTAGAGGACAGTGAAATGATAATATTGAAAAAAAAAAACATGCAAATATAAAATAACATGTATATAAATTAAAATAACAAGAAGTTCATATTAAAATAACATAAATTTTATAAACCTAGAGTACCATGCACACGGTGCTCCAAGAGTAGCATAGAATTTGCGCTCAACTCACCCTATTTTGAAATAACCACCCATTTTTCGAATATTTAAAACTACCACCCATTTAAAAAATAAAATTAGAATTCACCGCCCACTGATTAAGTGGGCCCACCTAACAACTATTTTTTTGTACTTTCAGCCTCGATTCTTTTTTCCTCACTTCATTTTTTCATTTTCATAAACCTTGAAACTCAATTTTTGGCGAAATTCATTGTCGTAGACAACAATTAAACAATTGAGTCAATAATTGAACATATAATTAGTAACAATTACTCGAACAACAACAAATAGATTGTTGCTCATTAATTAGGGCTTCCTTTGTTAAATTTTGTTGATTTGCAAAAGAATTTAAGAGAATTTAAAGATTTTTCAATGATTTTTGAATTTTTATTTATTTTTATTTTTTATTTATTATTATTTTTTTTTAATACTGTTGTTGGTGAAAATGACAATAATGAATTGAGGAAAATAAAATAGAGGCTCTTGACTCTTGAGTACGTAGTATATAAAATGAAAAAAAATAGTCGTTAGGTGGGCTTAATTGACGGAAAATTGGTCGGATTTGGGCAATGGGGTGGTGAATTCTAACTTAATTTTTTTAATGGGGTGATTATTTTAAATATTCGAAAAAAGAGGTTCTTATTTCAAAATAGGGTGATTTGAGGGGTGGTTTTTTCAAAAAAAAAAAAAATCCATTTTTTAATATTTAACATCATGGATAACCCATTTTGTAAATAACTACCTTATTAATTTTTCCTTGGGAGGATTCCATGCGCGGCCGCCGCCGCTTGCGTCTGTCACCGTTTTTGCAGTGGTGTGGTGGTGTGGATTAGACAGGTTGGTCATGGTGGTTTTGGGGCAATGTTGATGGGGGAAATGGATGGGTGAGGTCGCCGGTGCCGGAGGTCATTTACGTGCCGGCGTTGATGAGGAAATGGAGGTTGGACGGTGGTAATGAGGGTGGTTGAAGATGGAGTAGTGGCTGGAAGTTTGCAGTGAGGTGGTTGGGCCCCACTAGCGGAAATGGTTATGGCACAAGGCTAAAGGTAGTGATATCTATAATTTTGGGTTTTGGGTGGTAGTAAAATAAAATAAAAAAATTAAAGCGGTAGTATATGTGAAGCAAGATGCTTTCGTTGGTAGCAAATGTCAAAATTTCCAAAATCTAAGGTATAGGTTTTGATCCTCTACCAATAATGTAAAAAAGACTTTCACTCAAAGCATTTACCGCTAAACCACTGAGCTGCTACTTGATACATTTGCTTTCATTTATTCATATCCCTTAAATTTCCCGGGTCGCGTGACCCAACGTGAACAACGCCGGGTCCGCCACTGAAGATGGATGTGCGGGAACACTCTAAGAGATGGAATCAAAAATTAAGCTATTCGCAAGAAGTTGGGTGCTGCAAACAAGCTCAGGGAAATTGGTTTGCGGTGGTTCGGGCATGTAAGACGGAGTCCACAAGGTGTGTCGATACAAAAAGTGGAAGAGTTGGATCAAAGAGAGCTTAAGCGAGATAGAGGGAGACTAAAAATGACTTGGTTGGAAGGGGTTAGGAAGGACATGAAGCATATGGATTTGTATGAGAATGAGGTATTTGATCGTAAAGGATGGAGGAGGATGATTTTTGTGGATGACTATACGGAATAATCATGTTTGGTACATGTAGCCGGCCCCTCTAATGGGATTAAGGCTTTGATTGTCTAGTTAGAGTTGTAGTATTCAATGTATTAAGGCCCTGTTCTATTCACCTTATTTTCACTTATTTCGAAAAAAATAAGTTCAGATAAGTGCAAATCAGGGTGAATAGGTTCTGATAAATTCAGATAAGATAAGTTCGGGAAAAATAGGTTCAAATAAGTTGTGATAAAGGTTAATCAGGGCTACCCAAGTTCAATTTATAACTAAAATAAATTCTAATAAGGATTAAGGGCTAATAAGTTCAAATAATTTCTACTAAGATCAGATACGTTCAGATAAGTAAAAATCACGTGAATAGAACACACCCTAAATGGGGTAAGTATATTCTAGAAATTTTATTTCTGATATCCGCTCAAAACAATGGGAGGCTAAATCATAATACTCCACACTTCAATCAATCATGGAGGTTTAATTTATGTCATTAAAATGATGTACTAAACAGAAAAATTAAAAGGTCTTATTCTTTCCGATGCTATATTATGGACTATGCCAAAAAAAAAAAAAAAAAAAGGCAATTGAACTTAAAATTTGATTGTAATACTGCTTGGATTGAGTTTCTTTTTTTGTTCTCTCTATCTAAATCTCCAAAAAGATGTATAAGAGTCTGCAATTTGCAAAGAGGTGCAATTAAAAAGAACTAATGAAGTAAATAAATTGTTTACTTGATGCAGAAAACAAAAATTAGACAAGTATTAAGCTAAATTTAACAATTATATTCCTTCTCATCATCCCATCAAGTAGCATTATTGCAGATTCTCCATTAGCCCGAATTGCTTTCTCTATTCCAATTTGCACCTCCAAAGAGCCTTACAAGGACATAAAGGGAGAGAAAAGATTTGGAAAAGCGTTAGTTGAAAGTAAATAGCTATCATGTATAATGAACCGACTTAGGGGAGGGGTATTTTGGGTAGTTTTGTATGTTAGTAGTCACCAACTGTAGTACATAATGGAATATGCAATTAACCAAGAGATGCCACCAGTGCACATGAGACAAAAGCTAAGTCTAGAATCATCCTAGGGCTAGAAGTATTGGGATAGTAGGCAGAAATTCGATGTGAACTCATGAGAGTTATGGCCTAAACTCATGAGAGTGTTGTAATCTAAACTCACTATTGGAGAGTTGTAGGCTAAACCTACTATTTTGTAAGAAACCTTGTTTATTTCGATCAATTAAGACTAAATTTTTCAGCTATATTTCCTTTTACAAGCAGTAGAATCATCATTTCAGTAAAGCTTCAATCTTTCTCCTCAAATATTACTGTATTCATAATAATTTATGCTGTTTGTGTGAGTTTGATGTGCTGAATCTATTACATCATGAACAAATTTTTGTAGAAATCATGATGAATCCTAAAGTGACAGATAAATCAATATAAAAGCTACTAGCTCTTGTCAAGTTAATGAAGGCAAGAATTCTACATACAAGAATTATCACATACCTATATGTTCTTTCTCACGGCCAATGAATTGTTGGTGAACACCACTGCCACAGTTAAGGCAAGCATCAAGCAACTTTTTCCTCTGGTTGTCACAAGGTCGTACTAGGAGAAGATCGTGAACTCCACAAGTAAAACCATTCATCATCTAAAGCATAAGCAAATAATTTATCAATGCAAGTCACATGCAACATTGGAATATCGAATTAAAAAAACAGATCATTAAGCAATAAGTGGAAGGCAAATCAATGAGAAAGCAGGATAGCCACCTGTAGAAAAGCAATCAAAACACGACCCAATGCAGTAAGCAAGTTTCCTGCAGCATTAGACCCATACATCTCCTGCACTGAGTGAACTAATCCATACTTTCCAAACTGCTCCTTGTCAATAACCCCTTGAATTAGTTCATTTTTGTAAACAAACACAACATCTTCATCAATGCTGTGACTAGAATTCCCAGACATTCTTCTTTCTATACCACTTTCTGAATGTTTTTGGCCGAATCTCCAACAATCTTTTTCCCTGCTTTTTGCGGAATTTCCAACACTCGTATTCTTAGAATTGGGGATCTTTTTTAACTTTCCAGAAACCTCATCAATTGTTTTAACACTTCCCCCATTCTTCTTAGATTCATCCATCCCAAAATATTCACGTGCAATTTTTGCACGCTTTTTAGCAGTGAACGGTAAATATCCTGTTGTGATTTGATTTAAGATCGCAGTTATGACCTGCACAGGAGTGATTGAAGACTGTCAAAGTCTACAGAGAAGGTCAAAAGATTAGATTCGTAACACTAAAATATACAAATGATTGCTGTAGTGCTATAGACAAACATTCATTCGAACCTGTTTCCCAGTCCAAAGCCTCTTTGGTCTAATTATAACCGGTGGATAAGTCTGTATCACATTCCCTGAATCCAAAACAGATAATTTCTGGCCAGATTTGGCATTGAGAGAGGGGACACCAAAAGAACACACACCGGACATACAAATAAGTTGATTAAATTCTTCGATGGTAAGAAATGTATCCCTTTTTGTGAGAAGTACAGCACCTACAATGTGATCCTATTCACAAGTATGGATACATGAGACACATTGAAAAAAATAGTAATAAAACATATTGACCCTCAGTTAATATTAAAACCTGAATTAAGCCTCTTTTAGGGTCACCACGAGTAGGAACGATATACTGGTTATTAGCATTGACAATATTGTAAGCTTCAGCCCGGGAAATCTCATCTTGTGGAAGGTGAACATTTATTTCATCACCGTCAAAATCAGCATTGAAGGAGCTGAATTAAAAAAATCACCAAGTAGTGACAAGTGTTAGCATCAAGAACTTTACAGAACTATATATCAAAGAAGTATTGTAGGGGGGGTGGGGGAGGAACATACTCGCAGTTAGCATAATGAAACGGAAGAGTCCTCTCTCCAGGCAAGACACGAACAGTAAGTGCAATTATACTTGGTTTATGGAGAGATGGCTGCATTTACAAAATATCAGGGACTACTAAAAAGGCATTAAGGCAGAAGT